GAATTAAACTCTTGATGATCTCGATAAGTAGGCTCTGAGATTCTCTATTCGGCGTTTCGTAGAGAACTGACTCGTTGTCTATTCGATTTGAATTGCTTGACGACTCGATTGGAACTCGACTCTTCGACGATTCGAAGAGAACTCATGCTCTACGATTTTCCTAAGATCGGTCTTAGGAAAAATCGGGAGTTCGCCAAATATTAATGGCTGATTTTACCAGGGGCGTTCCCTTGGTCCGCAAATCGGTCATCTTGAAGGAAGGACAGGTTCCCCAAACGAAGACGGTAGTGGAGGAAACCCTTTCCTCCAAGATGAAGTTCGTAGAGTCCACCCGCGCGCTGATGACTCCATCGGCCGTTTATCGCCCCTAGCTAGGGTCTGAGGCTTCCAACGTGTGCGAACCACGTGGAGCTCTCAGGCCTATTGTCAGCCAAGTTTTAAGAGCTGTCGCCTAATTTCGTTAAATTAGGAATTTCCAGGATTCTCGTGTTCCGCGACACGAGAAGTCATAATAAAAATGAAAGCAATTAAACATGCAGGAGGAATGGAGAGGAAAATTCCGATACCCCTAAAGACCCTAAGACCTGGCTGTTGGAAGACCGTAACTGTGTCTTCCTTGTTCCACGCCGGAACAAGAATAAATAAAGGCATGCAATTCCATTGAAAGAAATTAAAGACATCGGGGAATTTTTAACGATCATAATATCTTCCTCGAAACGGTATAAGTTCTATTTAAAACATTTTTAGAACGAACCTTAGTCTGGAAAATAATTGCATTCAAAGATCGAATTGGGACGCCCACTACGCAAACGACGAATCGTTCGTTTTACAACATGCTGCAATAATGTTTCAAAGTAACAGGGACATCGATTCTCTGAACAGACATCTGATATAAAACTTGTTTACTTTGCGATCTTCGATTGCCTTAATGTCATTTCAAAAGTCTGTACCGAACTTATTTTTCTCTTTACTCCAAAACAAAGATATTGCATTTTGTTTAGAAAGTATGAAATGATCTTGGAACAAACGTGAAAAATTAAAGGTAAAAATTTATCTTGTCACAATGATATTCCATATAAAAAATAAGGAGAAAAGTGTCTCGAAATTTTGTTTGTCATATCACCTATGCCTTAGTAGTTAAACACAGCATGACGTGAAACACTCTGTCGTTAAAAAATAATCTTAGATTGTACACTTGTGTATAAAAGAAGATTGCTATTACTAGTGCGATTTTTTATTTATTCCAATCAAATGGTTTCTAATGAATCTAAACTTCGGCTTACAGGACAAGAAAAAAGAAAATTCTTATGTTGATAAGCATGTTCTTCAAGTGCCGTTCTTTTAATATTAGCCCTTTCGGTACTACTGCTGCCATATGGCGGCATCCACGGAACGCTCCGTGTGTACTACTGCCGCCGATTGGCGGCGGCCACGAAACGTTCTCTGGGTACTATCGCCGCACCGCCTAAAATCGCCAGTTATGGCAGGTTATGTGGATATGATTACTCTCTATAGTACGCATTACTTTACTGTCCTCTGTTTAAAATCCCGGCTGCTCTAATTGTTCCATTATGTATATTAATCCGTGAAATGACGTTTCCGGTATTCCGTTCATCCCTTTGTTTAGAACAGACTGTATATCTAAATGTGAACTATCACACCAAGTTACACTATTAGTTTTGTCATTTATTATATTGTACTATCAGTTTTGTTATTTATTATGTTATACTATTAGTTTTATTATTTACTTTAATTTTGTGATATTGGAACAAATTATTTATATCAATGCCATTTACTTTAATTAATATACTGTGAAGAAATAAATGTGATTTTAAAACGTTAAGCGTCGAGCCTGTTTCGTTTGCTTTTCCGTCTGATCCGCGAGATAAGATTCTGTCAAAATCGGCTTTCGGCCGAGGATTGGTTTAGGCTGTCGCGCTTTCGCGGCTGACGCTGCCGTACAGTACAGCCGCTCCTACGGAAAACTTCCTCGTACCACGAACGTATAACCGCGGCCAATACCTCCGTACCGAAAAGGTTAATGCATCTAGTTACACGACACAGTGATTATAATTGGGTATTTTATAATAGAGTTCATGAACATTGAACTAACAGAGACACTTTGCGAATAGCAATGATAGGAAACTGATCTCTCGACTCCTGAGGCTGACGCCTGCTTCGGCGCATTCTCGCGTACAGTTGATAAATTTCCAAGGTTGCGTTTGCTCCGCTTGAGAAAGAATCAGACGAAATAGGAAAAGAGCTAAGGAAAAGGGTTGACTGATATATCGAGTCGTCAATATGTATCGCATTAAATATGTTTAATCCTCATCGTAATTCTATTATTCCCAAGACATTTCCACACTATAATTTCATTGATATAACAACGTCAAATAAATATTGATTTTCAAAATTCATCGAAATTCAGCCGAAAAAGGATAAAATAAAAATATGGAATGGAAAGAAACGATTAAACAAAGCCGCTATTGTTAGATTTATTTAATTGAAAATAGTGCAATCAAGTTCGTATACGGATTTACTGTAATCCTAAATAGCGCACCGATGATCAATGGCAATCAATTCTATCGAGTAGAAGAAAAATGACAAAAATTGAATGTTTTATCGGGTGAAGTGGCGTGACTGACTCGTCGTCGTTTGTTGACTTTGAACGTCGAGTGCTGGGTGGCGAAAGCTTTATTGTCTCATACATTCGTATTTGCGGTATTTATTTTACTGGTCGTCAGTTGGAATCCGTGCGCTTCGAGGCTTTTCGTTTAAATCCTTTTCGAGAATAGCAGGGAATCACAGAGTCGATTCATAAAACGATTTGTTATTGCAGTTCGAGCGAAGAAGCATCTTTTGTTGACTTAAACGAGGCTCGGTTGTCGCTTGATCCGTCTTTGTTTCATTCTTCGTTGTATGAAATCGCATAATTTCGATTAAGTGATCGCAAGTGACTACTTCTTACGACTATTTATACTTCTATAATGTTATATTATATTTTACTTTGTCACGTTAAAATGAAATTTTATAAGCTTATATTCTCCTAATTTGATTTTAACTTGCCTCCACATAAAATAAAATAAATACTATTTGCGTTAAGTAACAGATCTGACCGAAATTTATTTCAAATAATAATTTAAAAATGATCATTAGTTGTCATTTTATAAATAATGTAATAATTTTATAAATAATGATAGGGCCAAAAGAACCATATATGTGTCTCACGTAAACGCATCGCTATGGCCACATATGTCTAGAATTTGACGTCTTGCAGTGTTACAACGAAAATAGCGACTAAGCAGAAATGTGCACAATATATATATATGCACAAGTGGAAAGCATAATAGCCATACATTATGTACCAACAGGTTATACTTTTATTTATACCAAGAAAAATTTCTGTTAGTGGTCCGAATTTAGAAACATTGGTTAAAATCGCAAATGAAATAATCTCTCGTGCTGATGCTAAAAATACAAAAGGAGTATTAGATTTCAAAAATATTTTTTTTCATTAATATGTGATCGTATATCTTTAAATTTTTCTTATCATCATCTAGAAATCGAACGACATCATTTTGAACCCGTAGTTTTTCTTTTCTTGTGTCTCGGATAAGACAATTTCAATATTCAGAATAACTAGATTCACAAGATTCACTAAATTCGCTAGATTTAATATATTAAGAGTTGATTCGATATTAAACGTCTCTCTACGTCTTACAAACAATAACACTTATTAACAAACACAAAGCATAACGATGAATCGGTTCTAACAAATAGGAAATATAGTAAGTATCACAGTAAGCGTGAAATAATGATTGTAAGGAACAATGTAAATATGTAGTATGTACGAAAGTAGGAAACCATAAATATCAGTGCCAAAGAAGAAATAATTTATTTCATAAAGTGAAACATAAATTATAAAATATTTTATAAAACACTGGTGTTATTTCAAGAATAAATTATATTTGACATAATTCTAAGAACTAATTTTAAAATAATGTAATTTTTAATTTTTGAATGCGACCAAGTCTGTTAAAGAATTAATAATTTCATGTATATAAATCGAATACTTCGTCAATTCGAGAATACGAAGTTCGTGGTTACGTACACTTACTGACAAGTAACAAAGCAATGATTTGGAAATTTGTGTATATTCTTTATCTTCTGGAATACATAGATTGAAGTTAAGAATAACCTTAAACAAGATATTCGATATTAAATTTATCGTTTACTAATTTATATGATGTTCTTTCGTTTTATTTTCAACTGTAAAGTATGTATGCATCTCAAATGTCAAAACATAAAGTATATATAAATACACATACACTAAAATTTGCAAATAATTACTTTATTTCGTCGGTACATCTACGCACAGGAATGTTGCTCGAAACATTAACCTCGATAATATATCTCAAGGCCATTTAAATCGGCCAAATATACTTTATTCCCAATCATTATCTACATTTCAATAGTCGTGATATTCAAATTTTACTGTAGCTTTATTCTAATAAATCAATATCGATCGATTATAGAGGATGTTACAAAAATCGTGGTTGAACTGATAGAATAGCGATTCAACGTAGCGTGCAAAAATAAATCGCTAACAAGAAATACTTTTTTCATTTACGATCTCGTTTTTGGGAAAAATAAAATTGAATTTATTATTTTTTAAGTTACATAGTGAATAAAATAATATATAACACGATGTTTCAAAAACTGAATATCATCGTTGTGAATGAGCTAAATTATGTTTAGATATCTAGTTGACATAAAGCGTAAAACTAAAAACATTTGAATAGAATTTTCTTCTATGTCTAATAATTCCATGTATAAATTTTAATGAAGTCTTCATTAATAGGATATGAAACGTATCGAATACGAGCAATTGATCACGAAGCGACGTTCAATGAGGTCGATATAAAATTGATTCGCGTAACGAATAACACCGCAACAATATAATCTAAACGATCAACAGGTTCTCTTCAACTTTATTGCAGCCAAAGTACTTACTGACGAGTTTGGCGAGCAACGACCTCGCTATTGGTCTTCTGGTTACACCATTCGGCTTCCTACCAGCTGTCTATGGATGTTGGCCTTACGGCGAAGTCGTCTGTCAAATACAGGTAATACATATTCACACTTACATATAATAAAGTGCATGTGTTTTTTGTTAACCGTGATCTGGATAATGCTTCACACGTGCCTACATGTGATACTTTGCAGCGTTAGCCATAAGACCAGCTATGAAAATTTCAGAAATATTGAACGCAGAGGTCATTTGGAAAATGTTAGAATTATTGGAAGCATAAACAATCGTATATGTCCAAAAATTTTAATTGAGAATCAATTATTAAATCGTAAGATGATTCGGAAAATTCATGCTTAAATCCTTATTAATAAGAAAGTAAGTACTTGTTGCTTGAACATATTTAGAAGATTCTTAATAAAAAAGCAATATTTTATCAAAATATCTTTCAGTGAAATAATAGTCTTTTTAGGAAATCGATATTTCGATTTATTAATCAGTTATTTTGAAAACATTGCCGCCTGAAATATACGTAATTATTTCTTTACATGATATTTACGATTGAAGGAAGCAATAAGAATTTAATAGGTTTATCGAGGAAAAAATATATCCAAGAGATGTAATAACAAAAGGAGTTGAACGATAATTTTAGAGACGAAGAGACCATTTATTTGCGGTCAATATAGGTATCTAATTTTCTACTGCTATAAAGAAGAATTGTGCTAAAGACGGGTACGTAGGTCAAACCGGATACCATTACTTTTTTAACAATAAGATAAGAGCTGCGGTATGCAGTCAACGCGTGGTGTTAGAGATTTCAGCTCGCTTTTTAACAACGGAAAAATTAACCAGTTTTTAAAATATGTTTTCAAATAGTCAAAATAAATATTTCATAGATCAAATATGTGATATGCGATTTAACTTAATTTGTTCTTAATATAAAATTTAACATAAAACTCGTAAAAGTAGTATAGTAAATTATTAGAAATTAAACTTCTATGATAATATTAATTGTTACACAACCTTATACAGATATGCATTTAGTTTCACCTTTACTCTTGGTGTAAAATCGAACCATCCGATATCTTTGAAAAACTGTTTTCCTTTTGAATACAATTTTTTTTCTGGAAAATTGTTACTTTTTCATTGTATACGATCCCATTTAGATTTATGGCAGTGCCAAAATTTTTGTTATCAGATTTAAAAAATTGCTAACACAAGGAATATATTGGACACTTATATTATGTTACTTTCCTGTATTATAAATATGTGATTTTTCTAATAATACTTTTTCAATATATTTTTTATTTTTTCCATTTTTAATTAAATATTTTTACATTTTTTTACAAATAAAATATATTGCGAATGTATAATAAATAATAATTTTTTTCATTACTAGAAATTTTGTATAATATTCATAAGGTTTGAATTAGTGTAGTTGGACAGAGAATTCTACGTATAAAAATGAACAATAAAAGTAAAATACAGGTTTTCCTAATTTTATTAATGCTTTGTGTGGATGTAAATAATGATAATAATTGGAAAGATTATTTTCGCAAACCTTCACTGCAATGATATTAATCCTTATAGTGCTACATAATAATGTAGTGTTGCATAAAAATGATTCGATATATTATATTTTATTATATTAATGCCTAACAAGCGTGTCTACAACGTACATATCCTAAATAAATGATAATCAATCACATAAACAAGGTTGTCATAAATTATTCAAATTTGAAAGGTTATGGATTAAAAGTAATAGTTTGCTTGTTGATTTTATTGTTTTACAGGCATCGACTGTTGTTAGCCATTAGTCAGCGACAAGATAACATGGTTATATTTAATGACCAATTAAAATATATACAGTATCACTTTTAAGACTAAACCTACTATGATCAGAGAAATGATCGGTCGTAGTGAAGATGAAGGAACATAGGATGAAGCATTTTAGAAGAAACGGAATATGAAGAAATATTGAAAAATTGATTATATGTATATGTATTGTATTATAAGAACAATTGAGAAATCAAGTAACAAAATTGATAAAGTCGAATGCAGAATATTTAATCGGAACTTCAAAAACTGTGATTTAGAACATCGTGGGCTTAGTGTAAATTTGTAACGTTGGAATGTCTTGAGGGATCGCATCGAGCTTTCAAAGCTTCAGTGATGAGAAACATTTCAAAGTGAAATTTATCTTTTTTATATAAAATCGTTTATTTTTGTGTTATGTTGTTTTTCTTTTTCTTTTCATAGTTCACCTTCGTAGTAGTTTTCTCATATGTAGAATTTATTCCAATGAATTTAATTATCTGCCACGATCTGTCGATATTATAAATTGTATTATAAATTCGTGAATTCATAACGATCTTTATTTATACAACTTAATAATCTAATAATTAGTGATTCCGAATTATCCTGACCCCATAAGATAGAATTTATAACAAACTGTAACATTTTTCAAAGGTAAATAGCCTTATATGAGATCATTGAGATTATCTCAACAAATTTCATCATGCTGTAAACAAAAAGAAAAAGAAGATAAAAGAAAAGAATTAACTTATTTCTTCTATTGTAAGAAAAGAATGTAGATTTGAAATCTCCGCCACTATTCAATGATTAAAAGAATAATTTGTATCATGATGATGTCTTCTTCGCTATTGAACCACTTTCGTAAAAACACTTTATTGATAATCTCTCACGAAATGTTCCAACATTACGAGATAAAAGAAGCATATAACTACAATCAATATCTTACAGAGACGAATTTTACTTGTACCTTCGCATAAATGTCTTCAAATTATTCGACTGTCTATAATATTTCATTTGTAAGCAACGAAAGTCTCGAATTTCAATCCTTTCAGTTGGTTCTTCTATTATAATGTAGTTCAAATTCCTCTTCGTATGCCACCATTATATCATACAGATAGTCCAGAGAGAGATTAACGATTTTAATACGATATTCTCCTTCTACCTCGGTTTTAAACAGAAGGGTACACAGGCAGAGTTCAAGATTCAGTTCTACATAATGTGCATCAGTGTGCGAGTGCGTAATAGGACATCAAGCAAAGTCAGATAGGCTCTTGAGACTCTCGAGCTAAAGTTGGACACTACGGCTTTATAATGTCCCTAGGACGTACGTGGAGGATAATGTGCAATGTTTATGTATATGAACCTGTGCTTGCACGAGAGAGTATGCTTCGGATGAATAACAGGCAACACGTGCCTTGAAAATTCTTCGTTAAAGAATTTGCTTACTGATAAACGTATTATTCCTGTTACGCTATGTTTCTAATTGAAATAGCTGAACGTCTTGAAGTACGTACGTATATTTTTAGAAGAAACCGAAGCTACTGGTTATATCGATTGGTTGTCACATTTGGGATAGTTTCATCGTTGAATGACAGAGGAATTCGTTTGCAGTGAATATATACTGACTCATAAATATTCGGATATTATGTTATTAAAAAATCGTTGCTCGCTTTGGTTATTTTTAATGATATTATTCAACTTATTCTTTTTATGATCTAATTTTAATCGTTTGTAGGAATAAATTTTATTTCCTTATTTCACATATCCTTTTGAATAGTAAATAAGTCATACGATGAATATTGATATCCTTTTAATCAAATATCTAAATGTTTGTATCAAATGTTTTATACATATCGAATTCTCTCGTTATATACGTTAAATACGTGAAGATGAATTTTTGTTCTTCTCCAAATACACATCATAAATATCAAATCTTTCACAATTAATAAAATGCGACATTTTACGTATTGTATACATATATATTATTCATATGTGAACATTAACTTTACGTAATATAAATATTAGATATGTGTTAAAAAAATTGTAGATATACATTTAAACAGATATCAATAGCTTTCATATGACCGTTTCCTTTCATTATATACATTTTTAAGTTTTTTATTATATTCTTATATTATATTCTATAATAATTTATTGCATGTAACATATACGTGCTGAAGTACAGTACAGTGTGAATGTTGTATCCCTAGGACTTAACGACCCAAGTCAAGTGGAAGGATTTTTTATTTCCCTATAGTTACCGTCCCAGGACTCGTGGATATTTGGGTTACTTGGTCATTACTTGGGTTAGTCCCTAGCAAGGGTCAATAATTCACTTCGGAGACGATGGGCATAGCAGCCCAAATTCACCATTCGCCACCACCCAAAAACGTCGAAGCTGATACACACCCTTAATGTTATTCACAACCAATAGAAAAACACGTATGCACCACTCACATTTCACACCAACCAATCAGAATACATCCGAATTTATAAAGTCATTGAAACACAGGAGTCAGGCGTCTATACACGAAAAGAGTCAAAACAAAATTAGTTCATATCGCAAACAGTCGCATAATCAACTCGATCAGTTCAAATCCTAACTAGGTTTATCTCAATTAAGTTAAAATAGACCACCGCATCCCTTCAGCATTGTCGCGTTAGCGTAGCGGGCCTTGCAACCCGCGAAACTCCGGTCGTGAGAGCTGCAGTGCTCCGGACGTATCAGTGAAATTAATAAGAAATTCAAATCCAAGGTTTGAAATTTAGATTAAGCAAAACAAAAATTTAGATTAAGCGAAACAAAAAATTGAAAGTGCTCTTAACCCTTTGCACTCGAGAAGTGACTCTCTTAGTCACCATTTAATCAAATTCTAAAGATCGACATTAATTAATATATCAAATTTAAAATTACCTAACAATGTGTGGAATGTCGAAGAAAAATATGATTTCTCATTTAGCATTTTAAAAATATCGTCGATTCTCTGACAGAAAGTCTTGGAATTACTATTTTTCTGTAACGAAAAAGTCGTCGAATGCAAAGGGTTAATATGGATATCAGTGAAAATTTTAAATTTTATTCAAACAATACAATTGCCATAAATCGGTTGATTTAAATTTAGTCCAGAATTTATACGAATAATTGAATCGTAACATTCCACAGTCATAAAAATCAAGGCGAGGTTTTAGAATCTGTGTTTGTAGAATGAAGACTGTTGCGCCGGTAATAATGCATGTAAGACGTGCCTTACCGTCCTTCTTGAGGATTAAGATTTATAATTT